CTCAATAAAGATCGAAACGTTGGCACGATAAAGAAAATGTTTTTCTGAAACCTACATCACACCAGACCGCATCTCACGATTTCTGAATAATCATCGACAAACGGTCACTAATCACCACACATTTATACAGTATAATTTAGATACCAATATTTGAATAAAAAAATATGGATTTGACAAGAAAAAAAAAATGTAAATAAGATTCATTATACATGCATGTATATACAATAACAATCAACCAGCACATCCGGCATCCGGTATACATACACATATACACATTCACCAGATTTAGATTTGGACTCGACATTTCTGCTGTTAAGGTTGCAGTTCTTGACGAAAGTGGACGGCAGAAGACAGTGAAACAAACGTTTTCTTTAGACGGCTCGATGACAATGTTTTCAGTACTTCCTCGTTTAATTTTAATGTTGAACTTCGGCTCTACGGTAATTAGTACACACTCTTAATATAACATTTAAGAGTCGGTTAATTCATTTTTAATTTTTTTTTTTTTTTAAAGCTCCAGTTAATGTTTGGGTTAGCAACAGTTTGCTCGGTGCTTCCACTTTGTATTCTAAGATACACGAATAAAACTTCTGGTAAGGTAGAAAATAACTAGTTTTTATAGCGTAAGGTTATTTGTAAAATAACCACATTGAAAAATTATAATTTATCTAAATAAATACTTTTGTAATAATTATTTGTAGATAAGAAAAATTCGCTTGTATCTCTTAAAAGCGGAATGGTAAAAAACTGGGTCAGGAGGCTCTGGATTCTTTCAAACATCGACAGACTATTCTTCCCGATTGTTTTATACCCGTTGTACTTAGCCGTGGGTAAGAGGACCGTTTGATTAATTCAAATTTTTAGTACTATTCTGATTTGCCAAACAGGTCCTTGGTCAGTAGGAGAGCTGATTGAAGGATTTACCGGCGTCATATTCATTTGGGGTATTTTCATCAATGGTACTTACTTACCCGGCTCTTTCACGTACGGATATGGTTTTCTTCAGGTATTGTAGGTTTAATTTGGCTAATGCAGTTATTAAAGTTGTCGCTTTGTTTTAGTTGTTCTTGTTCCAAGGACCACTCATCATTTTTACAGCTTATTCGGTAGATAAAAGGTAATAAATTGAATCAATACTTTAAACTTAACAAAAAAATTTGCCAAATTTGATAAAAAAAAATCTAATATAAAATAGAATTTTGACTTGAATTGCTGTATATCAGTCTGGAAACAGTAGCCCAAGTTTAAAGTCAGTAAAGTGTTCGGATTCATCCCGAGGACTCCAGCCATTTTTGAGCCGTGGTATACGAGTATGAATCGGCCTTTAGAGGTTAGGTTTGTGGTAAAGTACCTTGTACTTGCTGGTGAAGTTATTTTTTGAAATTGTGGCCGATTCGTTTAGTATGGCATCTATCTATGCCTCCTCACTTAATTTCCATTGAGTACAATAAAAATTGATTTTATAAAAAAATATATATGATTTTTGTAAGAATAAAATTTTTGTTTAGGTTGTTTGGGAAAAGAGTTATTCGACACAACAAGATAACTAAATGCGTCCTGTGCCTTATAGAATATTTTCCTTTCTTGTTCATATTCGTCAGCCAATTATCCATGACTTATACGTTTTGGCTAGCGTACGGCACTATGTCAGTGTTGCTTGGACCGATGCGGATTTGGCCTTTAGCCCTGACAATTTGGGCGTGGTTCAATGTGAACTCTATGCCCCTGGCGAAAATACGGTAAACGCGATATTCATCGTGTTTGAATTTTGTTTTAAACTATTTTTTCTTTGCATGAAGGAGTGCGGCGACGACGTGGACGAGGGCTTTGGATGTTGGCCACTCAATGACATTTTCCAGTCCTGTGGCATAACGGAAACGTGTTATGATTAATGAAGGACAATCCTAGTCAATTCCACATTCCTCTTATGGATCTTAAATTCTTCCTACCTTGTAGTCAGTAAAATATTAAATAGCAAACCTTGTTTTATTTAATTTTATATTATAATTAATAAACTTGTGTAAATAATCGCTTTTAGAGGGCATTTTTTAAATTATTTTGACAAACGAGTTTTATGGTTTTGTTTAAATTTTTCCATTTTTTCTTGATGTTTGTAAAAAATTAATTAAAATGAAAAATATATTAAGCAATTTAATTTGATTGTCTCTTCCAATGTGTTTTCCTTTCTTTAACAATAAAGTGAATAGTATTTCTATTTTGTTGAAGAACAAAGTGTATTATTTTCAAGGTTTTTATGTTTAGTATTTTGCTGGGGTTGGCGGGGTGTGGTGGTCTTCTTGGGGCTGTGGGAAGTTTGGCCCTTTTTCCATTTAAATTTCTATCTACATCTCTGAAAAGTATAATTATAAGTATAAACGATAAAACAGATAAATAAGATCGAAAAAAATGTATGTGTACAAAAATAAAAAAAAAGATGAACCCAATGCCACCTGGCGCTACAGTTATGGCCTGTTGATGGTACACCATGGTATACAAATCATTCTTCTAGCCTGTTTTTAATAATTAAAAATTTTTTAATCACTTTTCTTTTGAGTTTGACGAAGTTTAATCAATGTTTTCTCGTATAAGAACATTCTAAGTAATTTTGATATTTCTCGGAATAGAGATGCAAAATTCATGCAGACTCAGCACCGAAGATAGCAAGAAATCAAAATGTTTATAATAGACCAAACCAGCGAGGACAGAACAAAATTATCAGAAACGACTCCCTCAATGATCATATGCACTGTAAGCCGGTCTTAGAGTAAGTTCTAGTTATTAAAGTAAAAAAAATAAGTTCAAATAAACGACCATAGAAAAAGGCTGGACATTCGGATGGGGCAAACACTCCGGGACAATATGACGTTCCCGTCAATATGGGAAACATAACCCTGCAATAATTAAGCATTTGGTTGAATGGTGTCACAGCACCGGAGCGATGTGATGTTCCTCTCAAACCAGGGAAACAGCCCTCCAAAAATGACACAGTTGGTCAAATAAATAAAAACGATTATTTGGAGATCGTGAGGTGCAGTCTGGTTTGACGTAGGTTTTAGAAAAACATTTTCTTTATCGTGCCAACGTTTCGATCTTTATTGAGATCACCTTCAGGGCCTGGGGTTTACAAACATTGTTTAAATTTTACAAATCCATGTAGGATGTGAAAAAAATGAATTTATACAATGATAGAAAATTTTAGATTTAAAGAAAAAAATGAATTTATACAATGCTAGAAAATTTTAGATTTAAAGAAAAAAATGAATTTATACAATACTAGAAAATTTTAGATTAAAAAAATTGAATTTATACAATGCTAGAAAATTTTAGATAAAAAAATGAATTTATACAATGCTAGAAATTTTTTTGTAAAAAATGAATTTATACAATGCTAGAAAATTTTAGATAAAAAAAATGAATTTATACAATGCTAGAAAATTTTAGATAAAAAATGAATTTATACAATGCTAGAAAATTTTAGATAAAAAAATGAATTTATGCAATGCTAGAAAATTTTAGATAAAAAAATGAATTTATGCAATGCTAGAAAATTGTAGATTAAAAAAAAAAATCGAGCATTGTATAAATTCTTTTTTTTTTATTCTAAAATTTTCTAACATTGTATAAATTCATTTTTTCTATCAAATAATCATCATTGGCTAACAACTAGCATTGCCAACAAACAAAAATGACACATCTACACGGAAAACAAACACTTTCAGTGAGTACAAATACTTTGAATCTAAAATTTTCTAGCACTGTATAAATTCATTTTTTATATAAAATTTTCTAGCATTGTATAAATTCATTTTTTTAAATCAAAAGTTTTCTAGTATTGTATAAATTCATTTTTTTAAATTCTAAAATTTTCTAGTATTGTATAAATTCATTTTTTTTATATAAAATTTTCTAGCATTGTATAAATTCATTATTTTTTAATCTAAAATTTTCTAGCATTGTATTAATTCATTTTTTTTATATAAAATTTTCTAGCATTGTAAAAACTCAATTTTTTTAATTCTACAATTTTCTAGCATTGTATAAATTCATTTTTTTAATCCAAAATTTTCTAGCAATGTATGAATTCATTTTTATAAATCTAAAATTTTCTAGCATTGTATAAATTCATTTTTTTATATAAAATTTTGTAGCATTGTATAAATTCATTTTTGTAAATCTAAAATTTTGTAGCATTGTATAAATTCATTTTTGTAAATCTAAAATTTTCTAGCATTGTATAAATTCATTTTTTTTATATAAAATTTTCTAGCATTGTATAAATTCATTTTTTTAATCTAAAATTTTCTTATGAATGATTATTTGAAAATAAAAAATAATTTATACAATGCTAGAATTTTTTTAAATATAAAATATTTTAGGGGGGGGGGAGGGCTGTTTCTCTGGTTTGAGAGGAACATCACATCGCTCCATTTTACGACTTGTAGGATGTAAAAAAAATGAATTTATACAATGCTAAAAAATGTTAGATAAAAAAAAGAATTTATACGATAGAAAATTTTAGTTTAGAAAAAAGAAGATCTAAAATTCTAAATTCTTCTAAATCTAAAATTTTCTATCATTGTATAAATTCATTTTTTTTCACATCCTATATGTATTAGTAAAATTTAAACAATGTTTATAAATCCCAGGCCCTGAAGATGATCTCAATAAAGATCAAAATGTTGGCACGATAAAGAAAATGTTTTTCTAAAACCTACGTCACACCAGACTGCACCTAACGATCTCCAAATAATCGTTTTTATTTATTTGACCAACTGTGTCATTATTGGAGAGCTATATATGGTCACTAAACACCACATGTTTAAGAAAAATTGTTACAAACAGGCTAAAAGTTAATTTAAATCATATTATATCCTGCTTTAAACTTTGATTCGGTATTAACAATTCTTTAGAATTGATAAAACAGTTAAAGAATACAAATATACTTAACTGTTTTAGTGTCATTTGAATTTATTAATTTATTTACAAATATCCCTGTTAAACCATTTTAACCATTTTTTTAATTACTATTATTTCATCATTAATATTTTTTATTATAACATCATAATTCTTGCCATCAACACATTGCAATATTTTACCAGAAAGTTTTAATTTAAGTAAATCGTTAATGTAGATAAAATAAAAAAAAAACAGTTAGTTGCCTGTTTCGCAAAATTCTCAGTCAAAAAACCACATTCAAAAAAGTTCCTGTGGTTCTGTTACCCTAGGGCATCCAAAACCGAGCCTTCTATGGTAAGACCCAGTTTCTGGAAAATGTCTAACGCTGTCTTGCAGTGTTTCGTAGGGAACTCCGATGGCAATAGCAGCATACCTGATGGAACGTCAATCATCAATAAGTGCCACATCAGGCGCAACTGCATTAAATGGCATTTTTAAAGTTATAAATTGAAATTAAGAAAACAAAGATGAAAACTAAACAGTTTATTGGTTCAGGATTCAATTGAGATTGAATAAACATTTTAAATTCCATAAAAAGTAAACATTGAAAAATCCTTTATCCTTGTTTTGGTTTATTAAGTGTATTTAATTGATATTCTAAATTTAAAACAGCATAAACATATATTTATTGGTAAAAACAATGAAACAAATTAACGGCAGAAAATTCCAAATGGGTCGACCCAGGGGCTTCCCAAGCTGTTTCTTTGCATTTAATATATTTTGAGACATTGCAGAGCCTTTTGCCATGGATGTCTAAGAAATGGGGACTGAATACATCCCTCACTATGAAAACACTTTACAACGTCCTATAAAGTTTCAGCGTAGTGCAAACTACAAAGGAGAAGTAGAATTCTGGAAGATATAGTGTACAGATGGCTCAAAAAGAAATGAAGAAACAGTATCTTTTTTTTGTACAAGCCCAAAACAGGACAATCAAACTCATTAGGTACACTAATAAGATTAGATAGCTAAGCAGCTATTAAAACAATTACATTAAAATTAGCCGGTGAATGCATCCAAAATCTCCAAAACCTGGGGAAACACGACAACCTGATATTACCAGGTACCAGGACACAGGGAAATTTTTGGAAAACGGGCCAGAGGAAAATCTGCAAGACCATATATGGCCCGAAACCTATTTTTGGGATAACAAAAACCCAGAATCCTTTGTCAAGGATGGGGTCAAAAAAAAAAAAAAAAAAAAGACTTGCACTCCATTTGTGCTAAATAAAGCTTATGCTAAAAGAACCTTCAGTAAAATGGGCTCGTTGCTAAGTTAAGGACTAAGGGCTAAACTCAAAGGGGTGGCAGGACTATTATCGGTCACTGGCATCTAGAAAACATCCTCATAACTGATAGCATGGGCAGATTTAGATGACCCAATTTGTAAGTTATACAATGAGGAGGAAGAAACAACCACCACGTCGTCTTCAAATGCGAAAAACCACTCAAACAGTCAGAGACCTAGTACTTCTTAGGAGAAGGATCGTATCGATTGCACTGAACTAAAGAACTAAGAAAGTACAATAAGCCAGAAGGCTGTAGTGTTTGTGGAGCAAAAGTTCCACTTTTTAATATTTGTGTTCATCATCATCAAACCAGGATGATCGGAGCTGTTCAATACTCACCGATTTCTCAAAAATATTTACAATTTTTTTTGTTTAATTTTATTGTGATAATAAAGCAATATTTGAATTATTTAGTGAACCCATAAATCAAATCCACGGTTTATTTTTCCAACACTGTCAGTGATGATACAATGTTATTAAATTTATTTACAAAAATTAATTTCGTGTGTTATTGTCATTTCATTTTTAAAATTTTATTTTTGTTTTGAATAAGAAAATTTTAACCGACATATTGTATTCCCAATTCCAGGAGATTTAACGGATGCAAAATCTAAAGATAATGTGGGCTCGAGGCAATTTGAAGCCGAGTGGAAAAAGTACAACGAAATATTGACAGGTTGCTCACAACTTAAGGAAACGACTTGGTTAGATATTAGAGGGAATCATGGTAACATTGGCCAAAATGTTTGTACATTTTTTACGGCTGAGAAAACAACGTTATATTCTTTACAGACAATTTTGATGTGCCTGGTATTTCCTCTGAAAGAAATTATTTTAGAAAATATTCGATGCAGGGAAAACATCACCCCAGGTCGTACGAATATAAACTCGTAAAAGGAAATGTGACTTATTCTTTTATCGGTATCGACGCCTGCCCGAACCAAGGGCTAAAACGGCCCTTTAACTTTATCGGGCTGCTTCAGGAGAAGGATTTACAAGAAATAAGACGGCTTGCTGTTTTGGCAAACAGCTCAGATTATACAATATGGTTTGGCCACTATCCGACTTCGTGCATCTGGAGCCATCCCCCAGGTGTAAGTATTTCATATTATTCAATGAGAATTTTTATTAAATATGTCATGTTTTAAACAGGTCAAGTCTATTATCAGTTCGGTGAAAGGGAGCCTAGCTTACGTATGTGGGCATTTCCACTCATTATTGGGCTTTGTGCCTAAAATGTACACCATTCAAAAACAAGGCTTTTATGAGTTAGAATTAGCTGACTGGAAAGACAATAGAATGTAAGATTTTTTTTTTTTAATTAAAGGATCTAGATAGTTTATGTTGCTTTTCCCCAGGTTTCGTGTAATGGCAATTGATCATGGTTTATTTTCTTTTGTCGATGAAAAATACAATGACTGGCCTGTAATTTTAATAACAAATCCCAAGCATGCCCAATTCCAGTTATTCTCCAAAGAGCCTTTAAGATCTACATCTACATCTACGCACATCAGGTAATAAATCATAAAATTGTTTCAATCCTTATTAATCCTTCTATTCATATTAATATATTGTAACGCTCGTATATTAATGGATATGCTTTTATTGCGAGGGAGGATTTTGGTTTTCTCTCCCAGCACGGTGCTGTCCGTCATGGTGAAGATAGACGAAAATAATTGGGAAAATTGTTTGGAATCTAAAATAAAAAATCTGTTCGTGCTCAAATGGGATCCGAAATCTTTCAGCACCGGCATTCACAGCATCGAGGTATAAATTATTTCTTTATTTACAGGCAATAGCCCATTTTATTACAATAATTACAAGAAAGACAACATTTAAAACATGAAAAGCATGGCAAACAATGACAATAATAAAATAAGACAAATAATAATATACAGTATAATTATTCAAAAATCGTGAGATGCGGTCTGGCTTGATGTAGGTTTCACAAAAACATTTTCTTTATCGTGCCAACGTTTTGATCTTTATTATATCTTCAGGGCCTGGGCTTTACAAACATGTTTAAATTTAACAAATACATGTAGGATTTGGAAAAAAGTGAATTTATACAATGCTAGAAAATTTTATATTTAAAAAAATGAATTTATACAATGCTAGAAAATTTTATATAAAAAAAATGAATTTTTACATTGCTAGAAAATTTTAGATTTAAAAAAAAATTTATACAATGCTGTTAAATTTTAGATTAAAAAAAATGAATTTATACAATGCTGTTAAATTTTATATTAAAAAAAAAATGAATTTATACAATGCTAGAAAATTTTAGATAAAAAAATGAATGTATACAATGCTAGAAAATTTTATATTAAACAAAAATAAAACAATGCTAGAATTTTTTTTTAGACGTATACATAAACAGCAATATCTCACTGGCACTCTCAACACGACAGACAAAAATGACACATCTACACGGAAAACAAACACTTTGAGTGAGTACAAATACTATGATTGAATCTCAAATTTTCTAGCATTGTATAAATTCAATTTTTTAAATCTAAAATTTTCTAGCATTGTACAAATTCATTTTTTAAAATCTAAAATTTTCTAGCATTGTATAAATATTTTTTTTAAATCTAAAATTTTCTAGCATTGTATAAACTCATTTTTTTTAATCTAAAATTTTCTAGTATTGTATAAATTCATTTTTTAATCTAAAATTTTGTAGCATTGTACAAATTCATTTTTTTAATCTAAAATTTTCTTATGAATGATTATTTGAAAAAAAAAATTATATAATGCTAGAATTGTTTTTTAAATATAAAATTTTCTTATGAATGATTATTTGAAAAAAAATTATATAATGCTAAAATTTTTTTTAAAATATAAAATTTTCTAGGGGGGGAAGGGGCTATGCTTCCCTGGTTTGAGAGGAACATCACATCTCTACATTTTAGAAATACTTGTAGGATGTGAAAAAAATGAATTTATATAATGTTAGAAAATTTGAGATAAAAAAAAAGAATTTATACGATATAAAATTTTAGATTAGAAAAAAGATCTAAAATTCTGAATTCTTTTACATCTAAAATTCTATCATTGTATAAATTCATTTTTGTAAATCTAAAATTTTCTAGCATTGTATAAATTCATTTTTTTAATCTAAAATTTTGTTATGAATGATTATTTGAAAAAAAAAAAAATAATTTCTACAATGCTAGAATTTTTTTAAATTTAAAATTTTCTAGGGGGGGGAGGGCTGTTTCCCTGGTTTGAGAGGAACATCACATCTCTCCATTTTACAAATACTTGTAGGATATGAAAATAATGAATTTATACAATACAAGAAAATTTTAGATTAGAAAAAAGATCTAAAATTCACATCTACACGGAAAACAAACACTGAGTGAGTACAAATACTTTGATTGAATCTCAAATTTTCTAGCATTGTATAAATTTAATTTTTTTAATCTCAAATTTTCTAGCATTGTATAAATTCATTTTTTTAATCTAAAATTTTATAGCATTGTATAAATTCATTTTTTTAAATCGAAAATTTTATAGCATTGTATAAATTCATTTTTTTAATCTAAAATTTTCTAGCATTGCATAAATATTTTTTTTTAATCTAAAATTTTCTAGCATTGTATAAATAATTTTTTTTTAAATTAAAATTTTCTAGCATTGTATAAATTCATTCTGTTCATGGCATTGCCCATCTTCTTAAGGTGATAGTTAAGAGGGCAGTGGCCGGCGTAGGTGTAATTTTTCTCAAATTCTACCTGCTGAGAGAGAGAGGAGTTCTTTCATTTTCCTTTCTCAATCCAACTTATTTTTTTGACAACTGGGACGATCTTAGCAATTTTAGCTCTACTGGGTGTACATGCTTGTAGAAGACGATTCACTGTATCAACGTTCATCAGTTCAGGTGCACGCTCACAAAGAAATATATTATTTTATTCATCAAGTTGTGTCCTTCTTTTTTAAGAGTTATATATCTCTTTATAATAATAACATCAAGAAGTTCCAACTGTGCAAAGATAATTGTGCAAGGATGGAGAAATCAATCAATTTTTCTATTATAAATTATCTATTAAAATATTTAAAACTACATTTAAACCATTACATATACAGTGAACTTCACTATTATTTTCATACATTAAATGATCTACAATTGCAATTAGTTCTAATTTTATCACATCATCGTTTGTCCTTAAAGATCAGGCATGAAAAAAAAATTAAAAAAAATACAATAACACTTTTAAAGTATTTAGATTTATTTATCAACTCAAATCTTGAATAAAAACTACAATGTTATCACAGTTCAATACTCTACAAATAGAACATATTTCAGTTAAAAAAAAAATAAAATAAACGATTATCGTTTGTAATTTGCTGAGGTAATGTAGACAGTGGTTTGTTAACACACATTTTCTCTTTCACAAATATAGAAAACAATATTTTTAGTAATAACACTTCCTGATCGTAATTTATATTTATTTACAAGAATTAATATGTAAAATATTTTCTTTATCACAAGAACAATGCCCAATTCTACATATTAAAATTTAAAAAAAAAAATTGCGCACATACTTCTAACTTATTTCTTAAAACCAAGTATCACTTTAGCTACTAAGTTTTCTACACAGTACAAAACTAACACATTTTATGTACAATATATTACAAATGAAATATCTTAACAACATAAAATTTCATCTCATTGTTTTCATAAAAGTCAATAATGTTTAAAAAAACAAAGAAATAAATAATTTCTATCTTGAATTGTAGGAACTTACTAAAGTGAGTTTGTGTCAAATATTTTGCTGTGCGGTCATAAAAAAAACTTAGTAGATAGAACTTTAAGACAAATAAGTATTCTTAAATATTAAATAAAATATATAAAAAAGAGGATAAAAATTTAATGGCTTTTGACTTTTCTACGTAAGAAGAAGTATGCGTTTAGACAAGAAATCGAGAAAAACGTTCCCAAAAATGCCGTATCGACCCAATAGTTGACTTTATCCATGCCGATTTCTGTCAGAAGTTTTTCCGGGTATCTTAAGTGGCAGTAGAGCTCGTCTACAGGGCATTTAAGCACCTGCCTATTCGACCCGTAAATCGATATGACCATCGCCTCCAACCCGTACCGCATATAATTCACGAATGAGATATAATAGAGGATTCTCGGCATGTGAGTCAAAATGGCAAGGAATCCAGCGAGTAGTATCTGCACGGCTAACATCACAGAGCCCCAAAATATTCCATTCTGCAACAAAATTAACAAAATAAATCCATCTGTTAATTATTATTAATATTTAGACACAGTCATTATTATTTTTTTTAATTTGAAATAAAAAATATCGAGGGTTTATCGTAAACAAATATAATTGTAATTACCACAGGATTATCTACTGTTCCCAATGCCAACCCCAGACACTCAGAGGTCAAAACAGTCATCACGCAAACTGTCCCAAATTTAAGGAATCTTTCAACCTCGAGGATCTGTCCAGATAAGTAGTAAGATATAGAGATAAACACAATACTGTATAACATCTGTAAAAAAAAAATCAAAGTAGCTCTTAAAATTTGAATTGACCATTAAGCAATGTATAAATAATACACAACAAATATTTGAATGTGGATTAAATTTAAACATTAACAAACTGTAATTGAGCAAATTTGAAGAATGTTTGTATTTTTTTTTTAATTTTAATTTTTTTTAATGACGAATTTTTGATATATTGCAGTATATTTTGATTATCGCTTATTTTAATTAGTTCATTTATTTCATCAATTCATTTCTTACAATGAATTTTAAATTTAAATAATTTCTGATTGTTCTGATTACCTGAAGTGGCAGATGGGCCATAAGTAAGGCCATGTAATAAGTACGCAGCTTATACCAATTATTGAATTGTTCTTTTTTCAGTGTATTTATTTCAGCAGGAACTATAAATAATTAGCATAATTCAAATAAAGCGGACAATTTTTTTTTCTCTGTCTCTCCGAGGAGCAGAAAAATTTCCAATTACACTTACATTTCAAGACAGCCGGCATGACAGACGTGAAGCTCTGGTATACAATGGCGCACATGAAATAGCTTACATTTGTAATCGTTTTGTTTCCGTAACTGCCGGCGTTTTGGAATAACACACCCATAACTATACCGACTATCATATGGAGAAAAACTTTTAAATAGGATACCGTCTAAAATAAAAAACAAGGTAAAAATAAACAAAGCGGTTTTAAAAATTTGATCAATGTGAAAACAAGTTACCCAGTCTCTGTGTAATTGAATGACATTCCTCTTGAATAAAATCATAAATCTTGAAAATTCAGAAGGTGATGAAACAAGGACACATGTTTTCCCAGTATTTTCTTCCTTAAATTCTACAGGTACTACAGGTACAAAAAAAAGTATGATTATTAAACAACAATAAAAAGTTAAAATAATTAAAGTACCTAATGATTGTGGTGGTATTCTCCAAGTAGGATCTTTTGCAGCTAAAGTCATTTGTTCAGTAAATTCTCCAAATTCACCGCATACAACATCAAGCACTAATTCATTGTAAAGATAAGTAAAAAAAAAAATTCAAAGAATTAAATTAAAATATGTTAAACGTACAGAAGTCAGCTGGGTTGTGATACTTTGGACATTGAAGACCTATCGTTTGAAGAAAAGGGACGAGATTTCTGCTTGAGCCTTGATACACACACACGCCTTTTGATATAATATACGCATGATCGAAAAGCTCGAATATACTGGCACATGGCTGGTGAATGGTGCATACAATTGTCCTGTTTCCCCTTGCCAGACTTTTCAACATCGTCACTAACTGTACTGTCGATGAGCTGTCTAAACCTCTGCATTTATAAATCGAATTAAAAAAAAATCTTTAAACATTTTTAATAAATTGAAGGACTTACGATGTCGGTTCGTCAAGGTACATTATCGGCGGGTTGTCAATCAACTCCAGCGCTATGCAAAGCCTTTTCTTCTGCCCTCCTGAGAGCCTGCCACATTTTGTGTACTTTGTGGCAGACATACCGAGTGAATCGAGAATGTCTTCAACCTAAAAAATAAAAAATAAAAAAAAATAATTAAAATGTTCAATAATTTACCAGGTCTGCTTAGTTTTTGTCTTTACAAAGTGGCATGGAAATATCGGTACTTTTTAGTTATGGAATTTAATTACAAATAATTTATGTTAATTCATTCTTTTGTACATAGTTAAAAATCCATTTTGTTACATATTGCCAGGATTATCAGCAGATACTACAAGACAAGACAAAAATGAATTTATTTGCTGTACATTGATTACATCAATCTGAGAAAAAAATTATGATAATGTAGAACAAAAATAATGTAAAATGAACAACCTGCTCTTAGTAAGTTTAATTTGTACAAGAGAGCTAGAGTTGTGAGTTCACAAATAGTTTTATACATTTCAAAAATTGATAAAAAACAGATTTTACAAATTAGTGGTAGCAATATACAGTCAATTACATTCAATTTATTTCACAATAACAATAAATATTTATCGGTGGGATATTGTAAAATTAATTTAAAAAAAATTAACTTTACAAGAAGCAACAATTGGACTCAGCCACCCCACCAAAAATGGGGTAGATATTTTTGTAATATAATGGATATCAAGAAATATCGATGGGTTATTAGTAAAAAAAAAAAAGAAAAAAAGAGAGAAAAAATTAAATTAAAAAAGGAACAATTGGTCTCAGCCACCCCACCAAAAATGGGGTAGATTTTTTTAAAATATAATGGATATCAAGAAATATCGATGGGTTATTAGTAGAAAAAAAGAAAAAAAAAAGAGAGAAAAAATTAAATTAAAAAAAGCAACAATTGGTCTCAGCCACCCCACCAAAAATGGGGTAGATTTTTTTTATTGTAATGGAAATCAAGACATATTTATTGATGGGTTATTAGTATAAAAAAGAGAAAAAGTTAAATAAAAAAAAAGTAACAATCGGTCTCTGCAACCCCACCAAAAATGGGGTAGGTTTTTTTAATGTAATGGAAATCAAGACATATTTAAAGATGGGTTATTAGACAAAAAAAAAGAAAAAAGTTATACAAAAAATAGACAAAAAACATATTTCTACAAATTAGTGGTAGCAATATATAGTCAATTACATTCAATTTATTTTCACTGCTGAAATTATATGTAATTTTTGAAATAATTATTTTATTAATATATTACTTTTATAAATTTCTTTTCTTCAATTATATATTTCAAAAAATTATATTTATTATAAGAGGAAAAGGAATTAATTTCATTTCGTTTTGATATATAAATCTTAATCCTACTATTATGCATGGAAATGTTTCCTTTAGGAAAAATTAAATTTTATAATCACATTTATTCTTTTAGTGTAATTGAAGTCCATAATGGGTAAAAATTTATGTTTATAAATATGAAAACATGGCTAATTGTTTTACTTTTAACACTTTAAACTTAACGTAGAGTTGTTTTGTGTTGTACTTTCTATGTTTGTTTAATGATATTTTTATTCTAGAATTCTGTGCAGTAATTACTGGAGAAATTGTAGATTTTGTGGTATCCCACACGTTATCAAGGTTCGTACTAATGTAAAATAAACATAACGCATTAAATCTGGCTGAAGAATATTTCTTAAAATTTTCAATTTATAAAATAATTTTTTCCTCTTTTTTTTTTTTTTTTTTTTTTTTTTTTTTAATTTATTATCAAAAAATATTCTCAAATATTTAGCATGTTTAAAAAAGTGTATAATCAGGCAATTACAGTTAAATGAATTCGCACAAAAATGTAACACTAAATTTTCATTTAAGTTGTTAATTACTATCTAACCATTTTTTAATTACTATTATTTTATCATTAATATTTTTTATTATAACATCATAATTCTTGCCATCAGCACATCGCAATATTTTACGAGAAAGTTTTAGTTTAAGTAAATTGTCAATGTAGATCAAATAGTACAGGCCCTAAAACACTTCCCTGTGGACACCACAGTTAATTATAAGTGGGATGGCTGAAAATTGGCTTATTTTCGTTTATTGAAACCTATTTAACAAATAAAATTTAATGAAATTATAAACCGATCCTTTGATACCAGCATTGAAAAGTTTTACAAGCAAACCGCATAATCTATAGCTTCAAACGCCTTTGAGATATCCAAGAACAATCTTGTGAATTTATTTTTATTGTCAAGAGCTATTGATATAAAATCAGAAGTTTCAAAAACAGCACCTTCTGCAGATTTGCATGATTGAAATCCATATTGGTTTGGGGCAATTATTTTGTTATCAGAAAGGAAATCAACAATCAAACTTTTAAACATTTTTCTAAAATTTTACTCCAAAATTAATATTTTCTGTAAACTACATGTTGACAGCTAACAATAAAACAACATAAAATAAACATTTCCCCCCATAAGATGGTGATACCAGCAGATTCTTCTCACCCATGGACTTTAAAAGCTGCTGAATTCATTTGGCTCATAGATAATAAGTTGCAACTCCCATTAACACCTTCTAATTAAAAAAATAGTACAAACAATTAAATCCTTGGCTAAAAACAGTGGAGCTCAAGAAATATTTATCGCTGGGTTATTAGTAAAAAAAATTAAAAAAATAAACTTTAAAAGAAGTAACAATCAAACTCAGCCACCCCACCAAAAATGGGGTAGTTTTTTTAATGTAATGGAAATCAAGAGATATTTATCAATGGGTTATTAGTAAAAAAAAAGAAAAAATTAAATTAAAAAAAGCAACAATCAGTCTCAGCCACCCCACCAAAAATGGGGCAGGTTTTTTTTAATGTAATGGAAATCAAGACATATTTATCGGTGGGTTATTAGTAAAAAAAAGGGGGAAAAAATAACTGCAAAAGCAATAATCGGTCTCATCCACCCCACCTAGGATGGGGTATGGTTTCCTTAAATATGATTAAGTAAATATGTAAAAGAGTCTTGCGAACGGTTTTTTCCGATTCCCTGAATAATATATTATTTGAGCTCCAGATGAACAAAAGTCAAACATTGCCACATTCGTCGATTCTTCCCGTATTAGAAATTCCAATTCTTCCGTTTTGCAAGAGATACGTACAAGGGGCACTTGTCTTTCTCCACAAAAAGTCAGTTGAGGAAGTTGAAAATTATTTTAAAAAGAAATAAAATTATTTTTAAACAAATGAAATTTTACGATTTTTAATATGTCACTGGGGTGGTTTGTAATTTTCCGTTTAGGAAATTACGACCAGTCGAAAGTCGAGTAAAACAAACTTGATTTCATAAGATGGCTTAAACCGGCTTGCTGACTTTTCAAAGGTCGGCCGACTGTGTAGTAAGAGAGACCCCCTCACAAAACCATAATTTAAAACAAACCGCTATAAATTTATCCCAGCCGCGAGAGCAATCCCTACCTTTTGAAATTTGTTTACAAACATTCATTTCAGTCGAATGAGAGGAGGATCATTTTGTTTACATCATTTTTTAAAGTCATGATTGTCTGAGTCATAATGTCTGAGCAGAGTAATTCTTTTTATATTCGACAGAATTAAATTTGTGGGATTTTCCTCTATGCATTTTTAATAAGTGATAATAAATTATTGTCATTTGTTGTATAAATTTACATGTCGTCATTTATCACGTATCTCACGGTGTGGTGTGCCTGTGTTCGATTTCCGCTGCTAGCCTTGGAAATTTTATGTTAATGAATTTACGAGTATTCACCGACCAATCCAACAATGGTAACTCTGGTATATTACATGTGAAGCACGCTATGCTTTTACACTAGGTCAAGACAAATTGTCGAATTTGCGCAAATGCACATGGAAAGTTCAATATTGAAAACCGTGGTCAAGAATAAAACCAAAACAGGTAGACACGGTAAATTTATGATAAAACAAACCTCGCCGAGTTGCTAGTCTTGGTCAAGCCCAGAACATGATAAATCAAACTCATTAGGGAAGTACCTCAATCTTTCAAGCTGAAATACATGTCATCAATGCTTGTGCCTTGGAAAATCTTAAAAGAGGTAAATCAGCTAATCAGTGAATGAAGCCAGAATTTTCAAAACCTGGGGAATAATAGCAACCTGACGATATCTTTGGTACTAGGATGAGAGAACAGACACACTGGCTAGGGGATGATCTTCGTATAAACCCTGAACCTATTTTTGGGTTCCTATCCCAGAACGGATTGCCAAAAGACGTGTTAACTCAAGGGAGTAGTGGACGCGGTAAACTTATGATGAAGCAACCCTTACCAAGACTGGCAAACTGCTGCAATGTAGTGGGCTAGACTCAGAGGAGTGATAGGACTATTAACCGATCTCTGGCATCTGAGAAAACATCTACACAACATGGGCATATACAACGATTATCCCACCTGCAGATTATGTAATGAAGAGGAGGAACCAGCCACCCATATCATCTTTGTATACGAAGCAACAACTCAATGGAGATTTAACGTACCATACGAAAAAAAAATCTAGGGAATGAAATTGTAGCAGAGGCAGTCGATGACCTGATACTTCTAAGAAGAAGGATTGATTCTATTGCACTGAACTAGGAAGGTACAATAAACCAGAAGGCTGCAGTGCCTGGGGACCACAAACCCCGCTTCTTAGTATCCTCATACCATATTCTGCACTACCCAGTTTACCTTTCTCTGGAAATATTACATCCACCTCTTCCTGAACTGGCAGACCATTCAAAACGCCTCATCATATCGTTCTATTACCTTAAAGGACTATTGCCAAAATTAGCTCTAACCTTCTCTCAGATCATCAGTTTGGCTTTTGCCCGCATCATTCCACAGTCCAGCAAGTGTTTCGCGTATATCATCTTCCCTTGAGCGCAAGGGATATTGTATGGGAGCTTTCTTGATGTGGCACAAGGTTTGTCCGGGTGTGACACAAGGGTCCACTGTACAAATTAATACGCGTCCTTCCAAATACTCACAAAGACTTGCAAACTCACTGCTATTTTAATGACTGGAAGTTTTTTGGTGTTATTTGGAAGCGTGGCGTTGGTGACGATGTAGCGAGGCCGGAACCGTATGTGCC